TATGTGAAACTGAAAATGTTGAAAGGGTATAGGGTGTAGAAATAGAATAGCGGTCAAAGAAATAGAGTGAGATTAGAGGAGAAATGGATTAAATGAGATTGACCATTCAGTAATGAGCATATTCTTAATTAAGAGAATAAGAACGTTTCAATAATCCAGCCCTCATCTGAATTAGTTGAGATGTACAAAAAGCTTGGCTTTGAATGATATTACACTTTTACCCTTTATGAATGAGACTCATGTTAGATTAAACAAGTTCTATGTTCTGTTGTTTTGCACTAAGATAGAGTGGGTCATCATCAGACGAACTAAAGATCATTCTATCAGTTACTTGCGAAACAAGAATATTGGTTCACAACCTAGATGAACATGAACACCCCATCATGAACGGTTGTAGTGTCAATGGTACAATTTGTCTTGATTGATTAGTTGCACTAGTACATTTATGTATTGAACAAGATCCCATAGAGGAGCAGTTCGTTTTACATTGATCGTCGTAAACGAACTAGGCCTCGGTTAATTACTGCGTTTTCTTAACCCGTTAGATATTTGTACATTTAGTTTGATGACGTTTCCAGAGTGAGTTCATGAAGGATTATTATGATAAACCCTGCAGGTGGATTAAATTCCGGCATAGTATTGATGTGATAAAGGAGCGCTAGCTTCGGTGAAATAATAATTAATTTATTAATTCTTGATTATTAGTGATTGAATTAATTAATGAACATTATATCTTAAACAAGATGAGATAATTCGAGTAATTATATTGAAGTCTCAATTGTAATTTTGGGCTAGGAAAAAAGAGTGCAATAATATTATGTTGGTGACCCATAACATTATGTAATTAGAATAGTGGGTTTGGCCCTCAAGGATTTTAATTAATTAAGGAGCCCTATTCTTAATCTCCTACGGGTCTCTACTGTGCTCTATATATATACCATTAAGCTCATGGGAAGAGAAGGGTTGAACATATAATCCACACACCCCCTTCGGCCTATTTCTCTCTCTCTCTCTCTCTCTCTCTCTCTCTCTCTCTCTCTCTCTCTCAGTTCTCATTCGAGTTTTATCTTCTTCTTGTTGCTCCACTTGTACAAGTTGAAGAGGGTGTTTGAGATATACAGTAGAAAATCATGTGGTTTATTGAGGTACATATATTTATCAACCCCGGAGATCACCCCGTGACGAGCCCGACCCGCCGCGAGCCAGCCGTGAGCCGCACGCGTCGACCGGAGCTGCCCGCTAGGAGTGAGTAGTTCGGAGATTGAAAAATCTTCGGAACCGTACCGATATTCGGAGATTACTAAAATTCAATCTCCCGAACCGTACCAAAAATTCGGTTCGGTATTCGGGACGGTCGAAACGGTTCGGTTCGGTTTGGTTCAGGCAAGAAAACGGATGCGCTAGCGCGCAACGGCTTTCGCGCTAGTTGATCAATCCCTTGTTTGTTCAGTGAAGTCAGAAGGGTTCAAATATTTGGAGTTTTTTTTTTGTATTTTTAATTTTTGTTCTTGAATGACCACCTAATTATATTATATTTTATTTTTTTTTTTAAATCCAACATTCATCATACTAAAATTTTTATTTTTAAATAAATTTTAGAGAACTGAATATTTGTGCAACTAACATTGATATATAAAATTCAAACAAAACATAACAAAGTTTTGTTAAAATAATATTTCCTTAACCTTCCATACCATATTATGTATAAGATAGAATAAGACTAAGTATTCCACAAGTTTATGTAAAGTTGGCATATTTTTTTTTAAAAAAAATATTTCTTTAACATTTCATTCCATTTTAAAAATATTTTTTTTTTTTTAAACTTGAAGAATTCAATTGTATATCAAGTATTACTAAACATGAAATTAAGTGGAACATAATTGTTATTACTATATTTTTTTGCCATTTTAAAAATTCTCAAATTATATAGGATCAAAGTTGATATAAAATATATTAATAACACACATCTAATTTTGTAATTCAGTTCTTAATTTTGGTTATTCGGTTTAGTACGGTATGGGACGGTTCAGTTCGGTTCTCGGTACGGATATTTGTGAAATCTTCAGTACCGTGCCAATTATTTTTTCGATTCAGTTTCAGAGAAAGTCAAACGGTCAACGGTTATTTTTCGGTTTAGGGTGATTTCAGTTCGGTATGCGGAACGTTTCGGAGTTCTCCGAGTTCTATGCTCAGCCCTACTGCCCGCGACGATGCGACGCGCCTCCGCGACCCAGCCGCATGCGCCCCGCCACCCGGCCGATCCAACCCGGCGATCCGATCAGTTCGATTCACACGACCCGATTGTGAGCCCAACGTTCCGTTCGTGATCCCTGCATGCTATTCGTGTGTTCATCCCGGTCAATCCGTTTGAAGATCAGCCAGATCGCCATAAATTTTAAATTGTAAATTTTCTACGTCGAACCTTTAGATCCGCTGCTCATAGGTTTACGTTTGCTATTGAGTTCGTGATTTGTACATAACGAGATCTTCAATGATTCCAACTTGATATCATATGAATGACCCCCTTTTCGATGGGGCCTCATCTTCCTCAAATGCTCGATCTACCCTTCCTCAATCTCTTTTACCTCCACCACCTCGACCATCATGGTCCTCTCGATCATCCAGTCATCTTTATCCTCTTGGTCATCCCTATCGTCCCGATCCTCTCGACATCCTCTTTTCTCCTTCTTCTCTTGGTCCTTATACACAATTCTTGAGGTGACCAACCCTGATCAACCTCTCTATCTCATCCTTCAAGTGCCTACTGTTGTTTGTGGTGCGACCATACTCGTTATGATATCTTCAGTTACGACCTGATTTTGGTTGTGTTGGCCCTTCCCTCCTCGTCTTCGTTCAAGTCACCATCCTACTATCTAACCTTCTTTCAATTGTTTCGAGCTCCACAACCATTTTCGTTTTCAACAGTGCATATTTATCATATTTCTGGCCATTCTTTAGAGGTCGATTCTGCCACCCATCCTCCCTTCTCCTCTCCAATCTATCTTGTTTGGGCGAGGTCAACCTTTTTTTTTTTTGTTCTTTTACTTCAGGTCGAGCCATCTCCTTGGTCTCATCCATGTTCACATATTTCTTGCACCTTTTCAGCACCTCATCGTAAGCTCTAGCCAATGTCTTAGTAAGAGATCTTCGACACGGACCAACTCACAGGCTCCTAACTAGATCTCCGACCTTGACCTCGTCCGAGGCCGAAGATATCTCCACGCACGCCTAATTGTACCTAGCTACATAATTCCTCAAAGATTTGTCTCTTCTTGTCTCATTGCCATCAGTGTCAAGCAAGTTTTTTCCTGAGCTATTTGCATTGGTATGTTAGTTCAGGAATATGCTGGAAAAGTCCTCAAAATTCTTCACCGACCCTGGGAGGAGTTGGTGAAACCAATCCTGAGCTTCTCCCCTCAGAGTAGCTAGAAAAGCTCGACATCACACAGTTTCCGAATACCCATGTAACACAACCATATTCTCAAACGACCTCACATGCTTGAACGTATCCGTCGACCCGTCATATGTAAGAATGACCTCGCTGTAGTTGGTTGGCAGTGCAACGTCGAGGATCTCCCGGAAAAAGGGTGCCCTCGAGCTCGACCAACAACTTTCTCATCGACCTTTGCTTGCAGCTGACGAATCTGCTCTGCCACTCTCTCCACCGCTCCATCCCTATGTGCTCCCGTGTCCCGTCTGCTCGACTCGTCCATCTCCGTCTCTTGTTTGTCTGTTCCCACCACAGTAGTGGGTGTAGTGGTCGCCTGGTATGTTTGTTAAGTGACCTGTTGGGCTTCTCCAGCTGCAACGACGTCAGCTCTCATTTTCGTGAGCTACTCTTTGGACATCATGACGAGTTGTCCTCGCTCGGCCTCACTTCTGAGTGGCCCCATCGCCTGGGCCGTAGCTTCCTCCTGTTGTACTGGGTCTAGATATGCGACCTCCTTGGCTGTTCAGGCTTTCGACGGGTTGTTCGGCCCTGGTGCTGCGGTTGGGACCGCCGATAAGCTCCCTAAGCCCGTATGATGAGGCATCGGGGTCACCGGGGTTTGAAGTGGTCAGAAGAAGCCTGTTGGTGAGCCTGCTCCGAATGAACGCATGGTCATCCACGCATCGTCACATCGACTCTAAATTTTTCTTACATTTATTTTGTTACTTTTATATATTTCTGTCTATGTCACCTAAGCATTATGACTATTTATATATCACGTTTAATTAGATCCAAAATAAGGGGCTTTTCCTACAAAGTACCTAAACCCTTTTACATATTCTTTTT